ACCAGCACCAGCACCAGCACCAGGACCAGCACCAAGTGCAAGACCAGCAGCACCAGCACCAGGACCAGCAGCACCAGCAGCACCGTCCACCATCTAACTGATAAGTCCGGGGGCCACCAGCACCAAGTGCAAGACCAGCAGCACCAGCACCAGGACCAGCAGCACCAGCAGCACCGTCCACCATCTAACTGATAAGTCCGGGGGCCACTGGGTGGAGTCTGCCCAGCGACAACCTGATTTATACCTGTCGTCCCAGAGCAAATGTTGGCGTGCTGCTTTCACTCGCAAGGGTCCGGACTCAGAAAGTAGACGGTTTCCCTACCAGTAAGGGGTATGAAGGCCCAGAGAAGAGAGGTAACCTGCCCGAGGTCACACCGTCACCAGGGGCCAAGAAGGAAGCAGAAATGGGTCCCTCAGCTCCAGACAGGGAGGCCCGGTGGTTCTGGCTTCCGAGAGAACTGTTCAAGTCCTGCCCTGAGAACTGCTCTGCCTTTCTGTGTTCCAGTTATGTCAAGAGGAAAACATCAGACTAACCGTGCTTACCCCACAGGTCTGTTCTGGGCTTGGAATGGAATAGCATCTGCCACATGCCCTGCACAGAGTGTGGCTTAAGAAATGGTTTTCATTTCTCTGTCAATGTCCACAGGGTACAGCCCTGCAGATGTGGGGCAGGGACTCAGCGGCCAGAGAGGAGGGGCCCAGCAGAGCCTTATTCCTCACCAGGACCCTTCTGCATCTTCCGATGCAGAGCCCACCCTTGTCCTCCTGGGAGGAGCAGGAGATAACCCAGACCACAATGGGTTTGTTCTGGGGAGCAACCGATAAAAACAGAAGTGGGGTTCTGGGTCATGTGATAAGCGGGGGCACAGCTGCCACAGCAGGAGGGTAGGAAAAAAGAGCAAGAAGGTGCAAAGGCCTGGGGGCAGGGCTGCGCCCCCATGCTCCCAACTCTTCTAGCTGAGGCCCTCAGGCCCCCAGGACTGTTCTGCTCACCACTGCAAACCCAGCCAAGCCTCCCCGTCCTCAGGGTGCTCCCAGACCTTCAACAGCCCCCTCCTCAGACGATTCCCTTCCCTGCCCTGTTTGGCCGTGGTACGGTGGGTGTCACACCCATCACAGGGGGCTACAAATCCCCACCTACCCAGGGCACAGGCTCCTCGCAGGCCGTGAGCCTCCAGGGGCTGGACCGCAACCCCGGCCCCACTTCATCCTGCCTCCTCACACAGGAGGGAGTCCTTACTGAAAGTCTGTCTCTCCCGGAGGACAGAGAGGGTACCCAGTTCTGAGGAGTCCAAGAGCATTCCTCAGCAGACTGTGCTACACGCACACACGCGTGAGGACACGCACACACGCCCTTCTAAAGACCGCGAAGGAAAAGTCTTTACCCTTCAGCTGAATTGGCGTGATTCAGCATAAAACACCAGGCAGCTCCTGGCTTCCTGCTCAGTGCTCTTGTGGATTAGGAACCTCGGGTGAGTTACGTGGCCCCACGAAACCTCCCAGTTCTCTGCTGTACAATGCACACATCATTGCCCCCCTAGTAGGACGGTGGGCTGATGAAGTTATATAGATGCTCAAAAAGAGAGCACTTCCCTTTTGTCTGTCCTTTTCAGGAACACCGAAATAAAACCACTAAGAGTCACCCTGTGATCTGATCAAGGGAGATACAATAAATAAGTCGCCTCCAGACAAACCTGTTTCCTGACCTCAGAGAGACTGCTTTCCAGGGTGGAGAAGAAAGACACGAAATCAGACAACCTGTGTATGTGAGCAACACATCACAACACATCTAGGCGCTCTGATTGAGAATAGTGGGGAGGGACCATAGGGACCTTATTTCCACTAGGAGATCAGGGAAAGCCTTGCTGAGAAGTGCCACTGGGCATGAGTGGAACCGGGAACTCAGAATCAAACCCCAGGCCCTACCTCACCGCGGTCTTGGCAGCCATGTGCCAGGTGGTCCCAGGTGACCTGCACCAGGACACTGGAGGTTTGAGCTGCCATTCTCCCACAGGGAGCCCAACGCTAAGGCAACATCCCTCCGAGTCACCAACATCAGAGCTGCCAAGTCAGGACCGGGGAGGTGGGGGTGGGGGGGGGCCAGTCCTTCTGCTTGCCAACTGCAGAACTGCCATCGGCCTTTGCGGCGAAGTCCAAGTCTGACTGCTCCCTCCCTCATGCGGACACAAGGCTCCTTTCCCTTGCCTGTTACTGCCTACTAGCCACTCGGCCTTCCCACAGGTCCAGGGACGGTGATCTCCGATCAACCGTCCATGCCAACCAGTACCCCGTGTGAAGTCCAGCACGACCTACCTGACTCTGGTTCATGGCCCACACAATACCCACCCCTCCCCAGAAGCCTTCCCCCGAACCACAGTGACCCCACCACGTACACAGTATCTGCTGCGTGCCAAGCGCGAGCATCTATTTTGAGATCCTCGACACCAACCCTGCGAAGGATGATGACACATCATTTCTACTGAAGAGAGAGAGGGAAAGCATCCAGCAGTCACTTGGCCTGAGTCACACAGCAGGTATGGGGCAGAGATCCCAGCCCAGGCCTTCTGGCTCCACGGGCAGCCTGAGGACTCTCAACAGTGTGTTTCTCGCTCTAAGCGCAGAGCCATGCATACTTTCCCTATTTACCCTCAACGTCTTAACTCATTCACCATCACGCCTAATGCCCATTCCACAGCAGGAAGACACAATGCTCTGTCTTCAAAACTCACTTCAAGGCCCCTGTGGTCTGGTGTCCGGAGACAGGCCCACGAGTCAGGCAGTCAGGGAAGGCTGACGGGCACGATGACGCCCATCAGCACAGGGAACCAGGGTGCTCCAGGGAAGCTCCTTTCAGTTTCCAGGTGTCTCCCCCACGCACCCAGCACCCGAGCACACACGGAGGGAGGTCAGTAAATGCCATCTCCCCTTGAGAACCGGCTCGGTCACCGTGACTTCTGTCCCCCCCAGCCAGGCCAGTGTCACCGAAACCCCAGGTGAGCACCTGATAGAACACACAGGAGCATGTGCACGAGGAGGGGACGGGCCTTACGTTTCACAGGGCGCCCTCGGGGAGGCTGGCAGCGACCCAACCAAACACTCATGCGGAAATAAGGGCAGAGATCTCAGGCGTCCCAGGAAGCTGCGGTCCTCTGTCCCCCACAGGCGTCCAGGTGCAGGGATCCGCCAGGCGCTCAGCCAGGGCCTTCCTGAAAACCGCCATTAGCATCCAAATGTGTGATTCCAGAGAATGCTTCCTCCACGGTCCTCCCCCAGGCAGCTGAATATCACTGTAAATCCACAAGGCTCCGGAAATCCTTGAGTGCAGCTCCAGGCAACTGACAAGGCACAGCCATCGTAAGGGGCAACTTTTTAATTCCTTTCTGGTCCAAAGATCAGGCCTGGGGATGCAGAGAAGAAAAATCAATCTTGTTACAATCATGGACCCAGAGCAGTAGTCGTGTCCTTCTCCCTTCCTTATATTTGACCCTAATACACTTAGAGGGGAACTCACTAAAAATAATGCCCTGTAGGTCTGATCCCCAAACGGAGGTGAGGCAGGAAATCGGGGGGCCTTCAGGGGAGAGTCACTTCGCACAGGCACCAAAGACCTCTCAGATCCGGAACATTCTACTGCTTGGGGCTCCCCAAAACTACCCTGAGAGGTATGCCCATTTTAAAGAGGAGGAGAAAAGGTTCAAGAAGGGGTAGGGGGCCAGCTTAGGCAGTCAGCAGTCGGGCCAGGCCTGGCACACAGTCCTGAGCTCCTCTGCTGGGCTGAGAGGTCCTGGCAGAGAGCTGAGGGGGTTGGGGGTCAGCTGGTAGGAAGTAGTTCTTTGTTTTGTTTCTTTTTAAAGACAACCGCAAAGCTCTGGCATCAGGCCAGGCCTCCTCCTGCACCACGAGTGTCTTCGGGGCAGGGCCTAGGGCCTTCTCCTTTTTATATTCCTGTGTGCAGCAATCACTGAGCACCTGCTCGGTAGGTACCCAGGACTGTTCCGGCCATGCGGGGACACTTCTGCCTCCCCAGCATGGCATACTTCAACTATCCTCAAAATAACTGAAGAAACACGTGGGTGCAGGATGCAGAGGGCTCGAGGTTCAACAGTCACCACCCACCCAAAGGTAAGAACGACTGCCCCCTACAGACGGCCTACGGCTCCCCCTGAAGGCTCAGGCCCACCATTTGATACAATCCCCCCACCACCCTGGGACTCCTGCCTCTATTTTCCAGATAAGGAAACAGAGGCACAGGCCGCTGCCTTGCTCCAAACAGCTAAGAGTGGAGCCTGAATCTGGAGCCGGTGTGTCTCCCAATTCTGTGGGACAAGTGAGGACGCCCACCTGGAGCGACCGTACCTACAACTACCAGGCATTTCACGGGCATAACAATCCTCATTTACTCCTCTAACAACCTTGTAGGTTACAGCCTACTCTTACCCAATTTGAGAGATGAGAAACCAGAGGCCCATAAAGGTGAAGCAAACTGCCCAAGGTCACGCAGCTGGAAAACCACACATCAGAGATTTGAAATCAGGCGGCCTGGCTCCAAAGCCCACGAGCTTGGCCATTTCAGCAACCGTCATCAAGAGCAACTGTTTCGTTCCTGCGGTAACTTCAAATACTTAGTGGCATAGCACAACACAAAATCATTATCTTACACTTTTGGAGGTCAGAAGTCTAGCGTGGGTCTCATCCAGGCATAATTAAGGGGGTTGGCAGAGCTGTTTCTTCTGGAGGCTCTAAGAAAAGTCCGTTTCCTTGCCTGTTCTACCTTCCAGAAGTGGCTCCCTTCCTCCATCTTCAAATACAGCAACATGGCACCTCTGACCCTGCTTCCACCAGGATACCTCCTTCTCTGACTCTATGGCCTCCCTCCTCCACTTTCAAGGACCCCCATGATTACATGGGGCCCACATAGATGACCCAAGATCGATAACCCCAGCTCATGGTCCTAAGCTTCAATCTTAGCTACAAAGTCCCTCTTGACATGGAAGGCAGCATATTCACCCTCAGGTCCTGGGACCAGGGCATGGACATCTCTTGGGGGGCCATTACTCATAGAAACAACATGCCATCCTCTGTTTTAAACGTTCTTCAGTGGCCAAGGGTCACAGGATGAGCTCCCTTTGTCCCATTTAAACCCACCTGACATAGCTTTTAGACCCAAGAGGGAGGTGGGTTCAAAAGGAAGTTTAAGTATCTAAATATCAGCCCCTAAGAGAGAAATACAGGTTAGTGGTTAAAACATCAACGTTTGCAGTCAAACTAAGAAACTCACTAGCTATGTTACTCAGGGAAAATGGTTTTAGCCCTTAGTTTTCTCATCTGTAAAATGGGGGCGAATCACACCTACCCACTTCTTAGACCTAGGAGGCCGGGGGGACGTCATCACCATAAAGCGCTCAGCATGGGGCTGGGCACATATTAAGAGCTCGGTTAGCCCGATGCGGGACTCGATCCCAGGACCCCGGGATCATGACCTGAAGCTGAAACCAAGAGTCCAATGCTGAACTGACTGAGCGACCTGGGCGCCCCAATAAATAAATCTTTTAAAAAAGTAAGACGTGAACACATAAGCAGGTTAAACGCATCTATGCTGTGGGAAGTCAGGACAAAGTGATCCTGAGTGAGGTGGGACAGATAGTGACTGGAAGGTGTCAGGTGCGGCTCCTGAGACACTCATGACCTTCCATTCATGCAGGTGCTGGCCACACACCCATGTGCCATCTGTGAACACTTACCAAGCCATCCACATACTTAGGATACACGGATTTTCTAGTGCATGTCACACCTCAATGAAAAGTTGGTTAACGTTTTTTTAGTGTGTCCTGTGTAAGTACACTGCAGACTCCAGAACAATACTCAAGGCCTGGGAATCGGCACTTGACAGCTTTCTCTGCCCCTCTGTACTTTCACGGCCCACTGCCTTGCAGCTGACCCTGCCCCCAGAGGGCCGGGAACATTGCAAATAAACGTGTTCTGGCCTGGTGGCACGGAATCCTGCTTGGAACTGCCCTACAAGAAAATACAGCCCCCAGCCCCATTCTCTGGGCTGAGTCTCTCTCTCTCTCCTCTGCCTCCTGGGCTGTCTGGCCCAAACAGGTCATTTCCTTCTTGACCCTCCCTAGTACCACCAGCTGGCCCCCCTGCAGTGGGCATTTTGAAGAAAAACAGAAAGAGGCCGCCTCCATTTCCTACCCAACACCTGAGCCCACACGTTTGTACACCAGTAACCCTTAAATGTGGGATGCACGGAGGGATGCTCTGGGAACTGGAAGATTCCAGGTGTCCTGGGTTGGCCCAGAGCGGTGAATGGGGGGCCAGGGCACGGACTGTGCAAAGTCGGGTCAGCTGGCCCCTGGCACCCACGCGTGAGAGAAGCACGGTCTGCAGTGGGGGCCGGAGGGAGCATCTCCCAGGTGTGCCTGGCTGCATGCTGTCCCCTCTCTGCTGCTCGGCGTCCCGGACTCCATGGGTGTGTGTGCACGCATGCGCTCTCCCTCTCCTCCATCTCTGCTCTTGAAACAGCGATCAGTCGCATTGTCCACGTCAGCCGGAGCAAGCATCAGCAGATGGTGACCTCAGCACCTGTGGACGCTGGCCTCGGGTGGGGCAAAGCAGCGGCCATCAGGCAGGACACAGCAGCTCCCGGACACTCTGAGCGGGCCCCCCCGACGCTTGGGAGGTAGGATTTCTTCGTCGCTGATGCCACAGAAGAGGTGTCTACTTAATCTTTCTCTGATGAAGGGAGAGGCAGTGATTCTGCTGGTCGTAGTCACACTATCTCTCTGTGATACCCTGAGAGCTGGGGCCCGCCTCACCTGGGAAGATAAATCACGGAGATCTATTCCCAGAGAAAGCAGCAACTGTCCTCCCACTGACAGACTCTATTCTTGCTTCATTTCAGTTTCTCCCTGGCGTGTGCTGGGAAGACACGGATCGGCTGCTCTGGAATTCCCAAGCCTCCAGCACACACTCCCCCTTGCACTCACCCAGTTCATCAACCAGGGGATGCAGGGGGCGGGGGGCATGAGGTGGGGCTTGTGGGCAAAATAAACCGAGTATGAATCGCAATGCCGTGGTCAGTCACTGGCTGTGGGCACACCCCTTAAGCTCTCTGAACGTGTTCCCTTGTCTACTTAATAAAAATAAGGAATTGGAAAGGCATGTCCTCTGGGGTCCACCCGTGGATGAGAGGCTGTCTCTGAGACACTCAGCACGCACAGCTGCCCGAGGGGGGCTCACAGCTCACATGGACTAGCAGCTTCAGACAGCCCGATCCACCAGTACTTTGGTCATTCCCACCAGTTAGGCATGAGAGGTGCAAAGTGAGCCCAGTCCCGTTCACTCATGTTAGTGAGAGTCTGATGATCCTCTGTGCCGTGTCAGACACTGTGGGCTTACACAGGAGGGGCAAGGGAGCCCCCCCAGCATGAGCCCTTCTACGGCCAGGTACCCTCACCTGCACTCCATTAAGGGAGCCCTGCTCACAGCGCTGATGGACACTGGTTAGAGCTGGCCTTCAGAAATACCGGCATTCGGGTTCAGCCAGGCTCCAGAAGTCCTGCACGGCACTTGGGAACTCGACACCTGCTCATGTAAGGGTTGGCTGGAATAATGCTGGGAGCTGGAAATCACGCCAATCGAGAAAGGCAGGATCTTTGCCTTCAGGGAGCTTCCAGGCCGTACCAAGAGACCCAGAGAAGTGAACGTGCAGACAGTGCATGTCCGTAACTGAGCACACTGGGTGGTGTCCAGGCTGTGATGGTGGCGTGCCCAGAGCCAGGGCAGAGGAGGAGAGACTAGAACCTACCGGATGTGAGAGGCCCCTGCACGTCAGAGTGGGAGAAACCTTGGAATAATCTGGTTCGATTCCCTCACTGAGCAGCTGAGAAATGAGGCCCAGAGAGGTAAAGTGACCTTACCAGAGAGGTAAAGGCCCAGCTAGGACCTGTGGGATGCAGAATGAGAAGCAAATCTCAAGTGAGAAGGACAGCTGGACACACAGCACCTGGGAGGGGAGCGGCTCCTTAACTCGGTAGGTGCAGGGTGCTGTCAGCAGAAGGCAGCATGAGCAGAGGCTTGGCAGGGCAGGGAAGAACCACACCTCCTGAGGGCTTGTTCAAGAGCATGGGCCGCAGTAAGTCATGTCACCTCAACAACGCTGTGAGGTGTGAACCCATGTTCAAATGAGGACGAGTGTCAGAGATCAGGCTGAGATACGAGCCCACGCACCCTGCCTCCAGAGCCTTTTTGGTTTTTTGTTTGTTTGTTTGTTTTTTAAAATATTTTATTTATTTATTTAATTGAGAGAGAGACAGCGTGAGGGGGAACACAAGCAGGGGGAGTGGGAGAGGGAGAAGGAGGCCTCCAGCCGAGCAGGGAGCCCGATGCAGGGCTCGATCCCAGGACCCCAGGATCACGATCCGAGCCGAAGGCAGTCGCCCAACCAACTGAGCCACCCAGGCACCCCTCAGAGCCTTTTTTGTTTAACCACGAGGCTGCCCTGCCACAGAAGGGTAATGTGGGGGGACAGACTGGGGGCAGGGTGACCGGATAAGAAGATTCCAGAAGACAGAGATGCCGGAAAGGTCAACGAACAGAGACTCCCCGGGCAACATGCCCGCCAGCCTCGGGGCTGTCGTGACAGGAATGGGGAGCTGGTCTCCCCAAAAACCACCTGACCCCAACTGCCTCTCCCCACCCGCAGGTGAGAGGACAAACCTGTGAGTGGTACCAGTGAGGACATGGCACTTCCCACAAACTGTCCTCCAGACCCGCGAGAACTGAGGCCCCGAACAGGTTCAGGGATCCGAATTGTCCTAACAGCAGGTCCCTGGGTTCCCTCACAGTGACCTTCTGTGTCATTAGCTAGAACAGATCAGAGAGGAATAACAACAGCAATATTTAGAGAGAGAAAGAGAGGCAGACAGAGGGCAGGGGAGGGGAGGCTATGCCAAGGGACAGACCCAATGTTTACCCATGACACTTGGAGCTTCACTTCTGGAACCCCCATCCATACCTGCCAAATGGGTCCTGCCTCACAGAGTTGGGGGGGATCAGAGTTGGCCTGTGTAAAGCCCTTTCACATAGTAGGTCCTCAGTGAAAGAAGGCTTCCACCTACTCAGCTCCCCGCCACCTCCCGCTAGAGCTTCAAGGTGATTCAGATACTGAAAAGGGCTGAGAAAAATCACGAACGCTTTCCTTCTACAAATGACAAACCTTTAAGGTTTGGGAGTATTTTTTGTCCACTTCCTTTTGTTTGCCTTCGCCCACAATATCCCTCAAGGAAAGGTCAACAAAGACCCGAATGTCCATCAGATCCCCATGAAAAAGGGGGCAAAGTACCCTGGAGCAGAACCACCAAACAATGACTCAAGGAGGCAGTTGTTCACAGAACAGCAGGACCTGCCCTTGAAGATAGAGTACAGAGGTTCTCAGGCGTGCATGTTCTCCAGGAAAGAAACTTGGGAGACTCAAGATCTCACGTGGGCCCCTGCCTGCAAAGAGCTTCACATCTCATTAAAGAAACAGGCCAATGAGAAACCATCCACTTAAGGACTACACCAACAATTGCAGCCCACGTGCCCTGGGGCCTCAGGGAGCTCCACACGGGACTGCCACTGTTTCCATGACGATCACTTGGGCCCTGAGAGGGATGTCAGTTGGGAGGAAGGAAAAAGATGCTCAGGGTAAGAGCAAGGGTTAATGCTCAAAACAGCATTGACTAATCGCCAATCACAGAAGAGATCCCTGTAATTCCCCCATATAATGCCCATTAATGATCACAACCTGAGGGACAGGACTCCTATCCCAAAATGACAGAAACAGCAGCGTGGAGAGAGCAGGCCCCTTGCCCGACGTCACACAGCTAGCAAGGGGGTGGGGGGCGGATGGAGCCCAGCACCATGGGCTGCACGGTCCCTCGGGTCCATGCCTGCCCCAAGCCCCCGCCTCCCTTTAGCATCTGGATCCCATTCTGGGGCCATTCGCTCGATTCCTCAAAACAGAGCTTCCCACCAGGCGATCCTGCTGTCCCTGCCCTTTCCCACACCCCACAGCTCACACATCCCATAATCACCACCTTTGTTCCAACTCCTCTTTAAAACCTGGATTAGCTGGGCTTCCGGGGAGGTCACGCTGTGACTCTGGAATGCACTTCTGACTTTCACGGAAACCGGTCTTACTTCAAGCCACATAGGCACATGTCACTAAGTAAACCAGGGCCATCTACCTTGCCCCCAGGACACGGATGAAACCCAAAGTGGAGGGAGTGGGGCAGGAGGAAGAGACCACGGAACAGAAATCCAACGGGCTGGGCGCGAGGCACAGGGAGCCCATGCCGCCGAGCTGTCCCCCAGGCTTGCCAGGCAGGAAAGGAGCTGTG